GAGCCTGATGCACTCGAGGCATATGAGGCACGATAGAACGCTGGATGAGGATGTGGTGACGAATGATTGGATCTTGGAAAGATCAACGGCGGTGAGGGAGGATGACAACGACGATTCTAAGTAGGATTTGAAGATAGAGCTCGAGAGCTCAGATCCAGCATTAGAGTGGTCGCGGTCGGAGTCGGTATCGGAGTCCGAAAGTATCTGTGGCGGCTTGAAATTAGCAGAAGCCATCTTCCAGCTTGAGTCAGTGTGCCAGAGAGGATGTCATTCTGGAGATTGTGGGCAGTGTCCACTTCAGGGGAAGAAGATGAAGGGGAATGAGATCTTGTGTGAAGAGAATTGAAGGAATAAAAGGGTTTTCTGATAAAATGAGGAACGACGCTGTTTTGGAGGTGTGGACTGTAAATTTTTTTTACAATCCGTACTGAAAAAAAGTTTTTTTTTTTTTTATCTTTTTTAAATAAAATTTATATAAATAAAATTAATACTTAACACCTTGTACCAACGCCTTGTTCATCCTCTCCAAACCAAGTTGCTTGCTACTCATACCCCTTCGCAAAACTCCTTTCTGCAATTGAAGCATCCCAAAACATTTGCTGAGTTTATGAATTAGTAAAGATAATATATAAGGTGAATTACACATAAAAAAGCTCAATTAAATGCAAATCTTTTTAATATTACTCTTTTGCTGTTATTATTCTATATTAGGCATCAGTATACCCCTAGTATGATCTTTTTTTTCGAGAGTGTACAAGAGATAGTATGAAGTGCAGTATTGCCCACGTAGATACAGCCAACCTCAAGCTTAGCATTGTCACCCAAGGCAATGGTTGCAAATTATACAAAATATACATAAGTATAGATATAGAGGAAGATTTAAATTAAGTTACAAAGTCTCAATCAAACAGTTACAAATTAAATAAATTAGGGTTATTCACATCACTTACCTAAAAATAAGAGAGGAAAGAAGAATTAACCATCACTACTAAAATCCCTATTTTCAGCAACATGGAAGCATGTTGCTGAAAGTGTTTCCATATTCAGCAACATGGTTTTGCTTGCTAAAAATTAAGTGAAATCTAAAGCTTTTTTTTTTTTTTTGTCTTGCTTTGCGCATAATTCAATTATAAGTACTAA